CCTCTGGAATACCGGTCCAGCGTGCAGAACCACTACACCACGAATGCATGCTAGAAAAGCAGGAGAGATACCTTATAATTCTAATTTATAAAAGTTGTCCCCAATTGAACAAAGTCTGAGAAATGCTGGTTTATAAAACTCAAATGAAAAAAGGGGGAGGAGAACAGAATTCAAAAGCATTGATTAATAAAATTATAATACTAAATGCAATATGACCAATTAAAATGAATAATTGGCAAAACTTAGATTTAGGATGATAAATACAGAAACACATTATAGAACCATCATGCAAGAATATTTCTTTATATGCATAATTTTAACAATATAATTTTGGTTTTACAAACCTGTTCATCTTGGGTCGGACATGAAACCTCAAGATTTTTTCTCTCCATCTCTTTCATTTCATTTTCTAACTGAACAATAGCTTTTTTTAGTGACAGAGCCTGGGCCTCGGCTTTCTCTTTAGCAGATGTTGCTGCTTCCAATTCCTTTTCTAAGGTTATATTCTTTTTCTCTAGCTTCTTAACAACTTGTTTTAAATCCTAGTGTTAAAACAGTAAAAAGAAACATATAATGAGCCAGTCACAAAACAAGAGCATTCTGAGGGAAAGAGAAAATGCAAGCAAAATAAGAATATGATTGCTAAAACAAAGTAATTAAATCAATTTTTTTAACTTGACAGATTTGAGATATAATATTCTTTTACGATGTATTAAACATGCCCCCTACTTATACATTATCAACTTACTTTCTCTCTGACATCATTTCCTGATGTCCTTGCAGTAGTGTGTCTTTAGTTCGTTGCGGTCATATTCTAAGCACCTTCCTTTGTCCTATTATTTTTTTAGCTAGTTATGTTTACAAGTCCCTCCAACTTCCCACCCCCCCAACTTCACTTTTTGCATCATTTCTAGTGAATTAGGTTTGTTGAGTTGGCGGCACTGAGTGTTGCGCTTAGATATTAGGTGTGATATTCTCTTATATAGTGGTGTAGCCAATCGGTTACGCACTACCTTGAAATTACATGTCATACGAGAGGGTGTAGGATGGAAGGGATGTTCATAGATATGCGTCCATATCTCCCACTTTTGCGATCTATAGTGTCTTATAGGTGTAACACTGTTTGTTCTAGTTGCACCCTACGTGAAGACTTCTCTACCTTGCGTTCACTTAATCGATTAATATAGATAGAATTCAGACAGTTATCAGACTGGTTGAGCTTCCCCTGTATTTTGGAGTAGACGTCAGTCCATTTTATTATAGGATATAGTGTATAACAGCCGAAGCACCTGAGGTTTAACGGTTTACGAGTGGCAACTTTGACAAGTGTTAAATCCCGTTTCAGTCGCTCAATGGACGATATCCTCCTGAGCCCCTTCGAAGATGAATTGCTTAACCTGCTCATACGGTATAGATGGAGCGACATTCAGTGGGTTGTGAAGTAGGATGCAAAGGCCGACTTTGTAGTATGAATGGCTGACGCATGATGAACCTCCGTCATTCATTGAGACGATTCGACGAATGTTTCAAGACCAGTGTTTTTTCTTTTTATACTGTGGTTTCCGCGCTGCATCGCCTGCTACGTCTCATCAGACTGAGTTACTGCTCTTAGTCTATGGCTTCTGATAGCTTGTTCATTCCCTCCAGAAGCTTTTATTCTAATATCAGGGTGGGCAGACACTTATTTATCTACAGTATATCTTATGGCTCTTATATATCTATTTGAGTGATATACTTAGACGCGATCATAGTTTCTACTTGGCCCCTTATGTCATCACTACTTACAGTATCTAGAACCCCGCTTTCGCACTCTATACCCAGCCTGCTCACGAGATGCAGATGATGGCTTACGGTTCTTTTCCGTTTTTGGTTCCCCTTCCCCTGTTGTGCCGGATAGATGCGGCGGGCTATCTTGCTGTTCTTCAGACCTTATCCGTTCCTTCCCTTTATTCTTCTTTGACCCGGCCAGGATCTTGTGTTGTCCAGATTTGCCCTACGTTCCTCGCGAGGATTATCCGACCATGCTTCACCACCGTGGCTCGATAGGTTTTCCTGTTAAATTTACCACCCCCCCCCTCGTTCTGCGTTGAGGGTCTCTATGCGCAATTTTTATTTTTTTTTAGTTTTACATTATTTGTTGAAAACATAGCTTCAACCTAATATACCATTACAAAATCAGCAATAAATATTGTTCATAATTGACTGCTTGTAAAAAGTAAATAAATTTTTTTTGGCAATGTATACTAAGTAGAATGACCTCTAGCCTGCACGGCTTTAAACAGGGAAAAAGTCAACTTTGAGCAACAATAGTGGCACTATTTTAAATTCTTATGACATAAAAAATTTTCACTTATATCCTATCCTTCATTGTCCGTATTACAATGTTCTTTACCAAAATTTAATAAACCTTTTCCCTCTTTACTCTTATCAAAATTTGTTTAAAAAAGAAAATCTGAAAGGTTTCAGATTTTAAATTACATCCAAAGTGGCATTTTTTAACATCTTGTGTGTTACCTTTATTTATTAAATATCACATTCTTTGCACGTAAACCATAAAATTCAGTACAGTGGCAATGTCACAAAATAATTTTAAAATGAGCATATCTTTAGAATTTCCAATACACAGTTCCGCACGCTGGAGATAAAAAGGTTTTTCATCCCTCATACAATGTTGCCATTGCTCGTTTTTAAATCATTGAGTTTGTTAATCAAAAATTCATTAAAGTTTTACAAAATATGAAACGATAATAAACAATTCCAAATTTGGCGTTCAGATGTTATTTCGCGTAGAATTACGTCATTCAAATTTGGAAGGCTATAGGTACTTTGTTATCACAACGAGAAACTAATACATTTAGGCAGATCGTCAGAGTTATTCTTCAAATATAATACAGGGCAATAGTATTTGGTGGCAATGATTTGAAAAGTGATACACCGTATATAGAGTTCCGATGTAAAATCATAAAACGAAAACAATAGTCCTTCAGGGACAAAGCCCCTTTTAACTAAAAAGGGCTGTTTACATGATCCTTAAGCATCATATCAGTCTCTAGTGACTGATGTAATTTACGGATGGACCATGTCAGTCACTGGTGACTGACACAATACTTTTTTCTGGACACCATACTTTACATTCAGGCCCTGCAAGTCATTAATAATTGATGATGTATAATTTCAAAAATTAAAATCTTTCATCAAATTCTATTCATATCTCTGGACACCAGAATATTAGTAAAATCAAATATTGCAGGTTAAACAGAAAGGAAAACAAAACAGGCTTGGCACCTAACATGTTAACTTGTTCATTAGAATTTTTACAATTGTTTATAGAATTTAGAAGAAAGAAATAACAATTATGAAACAGACTTTTATCGCCCTATATTTAAGTAAAATTGCTTACTTTAATGCAACGTGAAGACTATCAGGTTGTCCAGAAAATAATGCAGGCTTTTGCAATGCTTTATCTTTCCTGTACATTTTTAGCAAAAGAAATATTTTGATTTACATTGGTTTATATATCATTTTGAAGCTCTATTTTCACTCTATATCCCTATAATAATCATTTTGTTCCAAAATCATTTTCAAAAATATTTACTACTTTTTGTTTAGATGTCAAAACGGGATTTTCCGCAAATTTACTTTTATGAGTACAAGCTAGGCCACAGCACAGCACAAACGGCTTGAAATGTCAATGAAGTATGGAGCGAGAAAAGTGTTAATGAATCTACAGTTCAACGGCGATACCAAAAGTTTTGTCGTGGAGAATTTGATTTCGAGGATCAAGAGCATTGTGGACGTTCTTCAGCTGTTGATGACGATGATTTAAAGATTTTAGACTGAAACAAACCTATGCATAACTGTTAAAAAACTTGGCGTATGCAAAACAATGATTTCTGATCACTTGAATCGTAAAGGAAAGTCAAAGAAGCTCGATAAGTGGGTGCCTCAATTGAGCAAAAATTTTTTTAAAAATCGCCGTTTTGAAGTGTTGTCTGCTCTTCTTCTCCGCAACAAACACAACCTTTTTTTTTGATTGAATTGTTACGTGCGATGAAAAGTGGATTCTCTCCAACAACTGGTGACCTTCGGCTCAGTAGCTCGACTGCGGTTACCCAAAATTGCAACACATGTGCTCAACAGAAAATGGCCACTTCTTCTCCATGACGAGGATCGACCGCACGTCATGCAACTGACCCTACAGAAATTGGATGAATTGGGATAAGAGACTCTCCCTCTTCTCCCATATTCACCTGACCTCTCGCCGACCAATTACCACTTTTTTAAACATCTGGATAACATTCTGCAGAAGAAATGCTTCAGAAACCAAGACGAGGTCAAAAACGCCTTTGACAGCTTTAGCACGTCCAGAACTCCAGAATTTTATTCTACCAGCATAAATAAACTTATACCTCGTTCGCAAAAATGCATTGATTCGGCTGGTACTTATTTTGATTAATAAAATTGTTTTTGAGTTGAGTTATGATACTTTAAAGATATAGGTTAAAAACCTGCATTATTTTCAGCCTAATAACTTAGTCTTACATAAGCAAAGCTGCTTACTAATGCAATGTAACAATCACAGTTTAAAAGTCTGTATTTTCAGCTGACATGAGCTGATGCAAAACTGACACATTTATAGCAGTAAAAGTTTTAGACCAAACGGAGTTTTCATCGAAATGTATAACAGAAGCCTAGTTGATTTGTAAGTGTAAGTAATTTCAGATAACCAGCAGTGTACAGAATATTCCATCTAATTCATATAATCTTAAACAAATACATCTACAAAATTTAAAAAAGAATAATTCCATGCTGTTTTAAAGATCAAATCAATGAATATATCAAAAAATAAAAAGGTGGACATTTTGCCCATGTAAATCAATTTTTTTCAAAAAAACGACGTCTGCTTTCTCACCAGGCACCAGGCTTATGAAATGATATGCATACTATGCATTGGACATATTGATTGCCTTTACTTACTATCTATTCAGAAGAACAAGCATGAACTACATGAGATTTAGTTTGTTTATTTCATTACAGCAAAGCATGTGAGGGCTACTTGCCTGAGGGATGCCTCCATAAAGAACTTTCTAAAAGGTACTACCACATTATCCACTCGATCACGGCAAGAATCACTGGGCAAAGCACTATGTTGAAAAAGTAAGCAACCCCCAGAATTTTACAAAAATGTATTTTCATCTGGCAGCCCACTAAATGCATACGATTTAGAAGTTTGAGGATTATGTTTATGGTTTCTAATTGTGATTTTTTTGGGGGGGGGTGTAACAAATCATAATGCAACTGTGTAGCTTCGCTTCTAATGAAAAAGAAAGTGCTGCATTTTCAGAAATATGGTGTTCTGCCTAGTAGTTGTAGTAGAATGTAGAAATGTGCATCTTATGAAGTTGTATTTTACAAACAATTGAATGTCTGAGTTACCTTGGGTAATTCATTTGGAGAAAATGTCTGATGAAGGTAACAAAAAAACTGCTTAAGATTTTAAAACACTTTAACTGAGATTTTAAAACTTTAACTGAGATTTTAAAACTTTAACTGAGATTTTAAAACAAGTATATGGCTGAATAGTATCCAACAGCTACAAAAATGTAAATATTATCCAGACTGACTTTCATCATCAACATTAAAGTAATGAAATGATAACTTGATTTAAAATGATGCATTAATTTATCTGTAACATTATTATAAAAATCTTGCAGCTTGAAAGTAGTCTTTGAACTGTTCTTGGGTAACTGTGATAATAACTTTCTCCAAATAATTGCAATTCTCTGAGGTCTTTTAAGCGAAAAAAAATTGATGTGTACATGGAAAGCAGCAACAGTTTGTTCTGTAAAGCAGATACTTCTGCAATTCACCATTTTTTTTTTTTTTTTTTTTTTTTTTTTTTTTTTTTTTTTTCCCCCCTCCAAAGTTAAAACAAAGTGCTGTGTACACATACGAAAAGACTAAGAAAATATAAAGTTAACAGTTTTATTATGGACGTTTAGGTTTTTAATTTAGTTAAATTTGTCACTGGTTTGTGAAATTTTGAATGCTTCATTATGTATGTTTGCTTAATGTAATTTTTACTGTTTCATTACATATGTTTCATGCATTTTTAATTTCATTAGTTTATTGTTGTTTTATATAATTTTCAGTGAACTGCTATTTTTTAAAATGGCTACTGTTTTTCACACGTTAGATTGGCGAAAAATTAGTCACCCGCGATTGGACACTATCATGGAACAGTTTAGCAGATAATGTGATAACTTGCCCTTCCTCCCCCCTTTTTAAGATATTGTAAATAATAAACAAATGCATTCAAAGCATATTTACAATTTCAGTGGAACTGCAGCTCGTTTCACTTTCATTCAGAGTTGAATCAGACGTGAATGAAAGAAGTTTTTGTTCCTTCTGCAAAGAAAAAAAAAAAAAAATGAAAATCAGAATATAATCAGAGTAATAATAAAACACAGTATGAATAAATGATTTCATGTACTTCAGAACAAATAAGGCCAATTCTACAATTGGAATTGGTGAATTTCGTAATTACTTTCAGAAGTATATTATATTGAAATAAAAATTATTTCACTAAATTAAGTAACTGTGGTATCACTATCCCACAGCAGCATTTGCATAACAAGAATTATTACAGACGTCATAGCAATAACAATTCTTTATGACAATTTGCCTATTCATTAGTTAATGGATTGGCACAGTTCTTAGATATAATTAACTACCAACATTCTTCTTTGCAACAGACAGCTAGCTTAAAAGTTCTAGTACGCAGTCGCAGACTAGAAGATTCCATGCTGAGAATTTTTTGCCCCCTCTGTAGCTCCTCCAGAAAGTTAAGTAAATAAAAACAGCTCTGAATTACAAGAAAATGATGGAAATGAAAAGTTTTTCTTATAGTTTATTCTTCTAAAACAGTCTTTCCCAAAGTGGGCAATAACGCCAACTTGTGGGCGTTTGAGACCTAGAGGGGTGCGTTAAGGGGCCCAGAAAAAAATGGGGGGGTGTTGACGTGGGTTAGGGGTGCGATGGTAGATTTGTAATTTGATTTACTTTATATTTTAAATTTCACTAGAATTAAAACCTACCTACTACACAATAACGAATACTTAGTTTATATTTCTACCCTGTATGATGGTATAAAAACTTAAAATACTTAACATAGATTTCGTAGGATAGCCCGCACGCCGTATGCGCGTACGTTGTAAAATGACGAAAAGCATACAGCTGTGTAAATGCATGAATCGCCAAATGTGGCAAACATTCCGGGGGAAAAGACTAACTGCGGGAGCCGGTGCACTTATGATGTTGTGCTCCGTAGACGTACTGTCCGTTTTCGTTTGGAGAAACCTTCAGCGCTTTTACGCATGCGTCAGGTCTGCTTCGAGTTCATCAAAATAGGGTTGAGACAAAAGAGAAATGTTTACTTAACATGCGTGCTTCCGTGCTTCTGAAAAACCGATCTGAGGAAAAAGTCCATCTCAGCGTATTGCCCCTTTTCAGAATAGAATCGTCGACAGGTGGCGGTTTTGCAATACGTTTAAAAACGGACTGTACGTGGTAGCAATTGGCTGGTTCATCGATACTTGTCCTAACTTGCTCAGTATGATTGAGCGTCGAAAGAGATAAACGAGTTTGTGCATGTTTGTCTTATTCCTGTCGGTGCTTGCTGTATTTAAATCCTATATAAAAGCTCGTAATTCTTCTTATATTTTCATTAGTGGTTTCACGCGCTATCTTTAAACGAGTATTTAAGTTCAACACTTTATTTACATATTAAAAAAAAAAAAAAGCCATGTCGCAAGCAAAAAAGAAGAAACGGCAATACAGTGCAGAATATATTAAATATGGATTCATAGAAAATTCGACAAACCCATCTTTGCCTTTGTGCCTTCTTTGTTCAAAAAAATTTTCGAACGAAGCGATGAAGCCTTCAAGATCATTTAAATAAAATGCATCCAGATAAGAAGGACAAAAATGTAGCCTATTTTCAAGATCTGGAAAAGAAGCAGCCAAGTGTATCGAAACTTTTTTCGATGGCTGCCAAGCAAGACGATGACGTACTTCGAGCTTCATACAATATCTCTCCGTTAATTGCTCAAACAGGTAAACCACACATCATCGGAGAAATGTTAATTTTGCAGCAATAAAAGAAGTTATAACTACTGTGCTCCATAAACTGGCGGCAGATATAATTCGAAAAATTCCTTTGAGCAATAATTCTGTGCAAAGACAAATTGATGAAATGGCTGAAAACATTGAAGAGTCATTGTGCAATCATCTGAAGACTAGTCAATTTTCAATTCTGTTGGATGAGTCCACTTTACCAACTAATGAAAACAACTTTACCAACTTATTATTTGCTAGAAATTTAGAGACAGACACAAAAGGAGAAACCATATTTAAAACACTGGAAAGTTTTGTGATGAAAAAGGAATTCCCTTGAAGAATATTATATCAGCTGCTACAGATGGTGCTCCAGCTATGACAGGGTCTCAAAAAGGCTTCATGTCGTACTTAAAAAAACAAAATTCCTGATGTGATTGCTGTACATTGCGTTATACATCGACAGCATTTAGTTGCTAGAAATTTAAGTGAACTACTGTTTCAATCATTGCAACATGTCATCAGAGCAGTCAATAAAATCCGAAACAACTCTTTAAATGACAGACTATTTAATCAGCTTTGTGTTGCTAATGATGAAGATTTCAACAGATTGATCTTTCACACAAAAGTGCGTTGGCTATCAAAAGGAAATTGTCTGACTCGTTTTTACAATCTGTTTGACTCTGTCATAGAGTTCTTGGAAAACAAAGACACAGCATTGCGCGAAAACCTCATCACATCAAAGAATTATATTGCATACCTGACAGACCTTTATACATCGTTTAATGATATGAATCTCCAACTTCAAGGCGATGACTTGAACTTAATAAAAACAAAAAATATCGTCGCTGCTTTCGTAGCCAAGCTGCTCTTACACAAGAAGAATATCGGCAGTTGTAAGTTCCATAATTTTCCCAATTTATCAGTATCCTGCAACAACGACGACTTGCTCGTCTACTGCCAACATTTGGAAAATCTTCACAGAGATTTCATTGAAAGATTCCAGGACATTTTGAAATTGGAAATACCAGACTGGGTGTTAGATCATTTTTCAAAAGTCAACATAGCAATATCACCCCAGCTGGAAGAAGAACTTATAGAACTGACAACGAACGAGGAAATAAAAAGCAAATTTAAAAATGGCTACCAACAATTTTGGCTACAAAAGTCAATTCCGCAGTTGTACCCTGGATTGTGGTCGATCGTTCAACAATTTTTGATATCATTCCCATCGTCATATTTGTGTGAACGAGGATTTAGCGCTGTGACAACGCTGCTTACTAAAAAGAGAAATCATTTGCAAGTTACCAAAGCAACTTACGACTGTTTTTGAGTAAAATCGAACCTGATATCAACAAACTTGTTAAAAATCATCAAATTCATCCATCCCATTAGATTAGTTTAAAAACTAAAATTGATTACCTATCTATATTGTTTCTTTTAATTTGATTAAAATATATTAATATTATAAAGTTGCATTTTAATTGCTCTCACTGGTAAAAATTTCTAGTTTAGAATGTAACTTTAAACACCAGAACCGACTAATATAGCACACTTAACTAAATTAATTAAAGTAATCAAATTGTGGTTTTTAAGTTTTACAGGTGTATAAAAATGCGGGGGAGATGAAAAATAATTGATTTTCAAAGGGGGCGGTAGAAGAAATAAGTTTGAGAAACACTGTTCTAAAAAAATATGAATATTACAATAAACTGAATGAATTGATTTAAATTTGAAACTGATTTGATGGGAAACATTAATTTTCTACAAAACAACTTTTCTTTAACACAATATCTTTTGCTTTTCAGAAATACACAAGCTTAGCTATATGCACATCGCATATTAATTTCAGAAAACTACTCTTATCAGCTTTTCAATTCATGTAAATTAACACAAATTCTTCAAAAATCTATAAATTTGTTTGTATTAAAATCACATATAATTATGAATTTGTAGTTTTGTGCTCAGAAATTTAAATTACATTTTTATGTATTATATTTTAAATTTCCTTCAGAAATTGCTTAGCACATGACATGTTTCCTTAGCAAGGTTTTACTGTATATGTCTAGAACCAATATGGAAATGCTCTTTGCACCAAAATGAAACAATTTTTCTTATAAAAGCAATTACACTTTTGTAATTTATTCATTTTAGATCACTGGTTAGCGAGTCACATGTAGCTCTTCAACAGTTCAATGTTGGCTTCAACAATAGCTTAAAAACAGTGTTGAATGACCAAAACTAATAGGCAATCATCAGATCCAAAAATTTTATTTCATGGTAGACTTCTTCTGATCTATATAATTTTAATCATGAACTATAGAGGAAATAAAACAATTTTTTTTTTATGTTGCAAGAAGTCATCTCATTTTAAAACAAATTACCCCTTTTTGCTCGAGATTCTGAAACAGAAACATTAACTCATTTTCCAAACCTGCCAAAACATCGCCAGGAAAATAATTCGATAATTGGCATTTACTATTTCAAACAATTTTGTATCTGAGGGAAACTTTAGGAGTTTAGAAATAACATAGCAACATTAGCTTTTGTTAAAAAAAACTCTTAGTGCTGATGTCATAGAATTGAATTTTTTCCCTTTAATATTAGCAATGGGCATTTCTGAAATGCAGTTACTGGAGTTAAAAAGCAAAGAATAATGGAGATCCAAATTTAAACACATTAAAGCTGATATGGAAAAACTGGAGGAAAATAAATGTGAACTTGGATCAAAACAAAAGTGATGTGCTTTGAAAGTCCTGGGAAAGATAGATATAATTTTCAACACCTGTAAACAGTATTCCTGACTCACATGATCAGTTAAAAAAACTAGCATTTGCTGTTCTTTCATTCTTTGGCTCTACATATTCATGTGAATAACCCTTGTCAAGCAGTGACCTTATCAAAAGTAAATTGAGAACTCTTCTTTTTGATGAAAACCTGACATCCTGCTCAAAATTAAAAACAATGACATATAAAACTTATCCAAACTTCCAAAATAAATACAAGGCCATTATTCACATTAAAATATTTTTACCTTAATGTAAAATAATAATATCTGTCAGTAAATTAGATTATTATTATGATATATGGCTTTATTTCAAGTTACTAGTTTAAACTGACTACTAAAAACATGATTCTTGAAAAGAAATTTTTGCTCTTAAAAGAAATCTTGCTCTTAAAAGAAATTGTACAACTCATCTTTGGCTCTTCTGACTAATGAGTTTATCAACCGCTGTCATAGGTTAGAGGGGGGAAAAATGTATATTTTCAAATAACATTTTGTCTCTAATATCTACCAACTCAACATATTATTTACCCTCAAGCTGAAATTCAACTATAAATTTCAATCATATAAGGAATATTTTGAAAGGGTCAGCATTTTCTGAAAAGTATTTCTAATTTTATTCGCTTTAATAAACAAATCAATATTCCCACTAGTTTTTTGCTTCATTCCCAATTTAGTTGATCTTTTAAAAACATATCTTTGAAGAACAAGTTATTTTCTCTTTATGCAATCATTTTCTTTCATTATAAGTTCCTCTCAATTTCAGAATTTTCAGATTTAAAGATTTCTGTTAATAAAAATACTCATTCTGTTGTTAAAAAAATGTATGTATTTAGAATGAATACAAGAAATTGCTAATTTTATTTCTTTGGTAATTTGAGATCCCTAAAGATTGTATCCGACAGCAAAATGCCTTGAATCAGCCCTCTGTATGTTGCACTAAGAAATATAAGAAGAATCATTTAAATTACCAATTTTCAGTTTTTATATAAACAAAAAATTTCTTTCATTTGACAAGGTTAGAACCCATTTTGAAATTTTCCATGATTGTGTCTAGTGAAAGCAAGAGAAAATAAAATAAAAAATGTTAAGAGAAAGACTTTGGGGATCAAAGGTAGGAAATTCAAATAATTTTGTTTTCATTGTTCTTCCAAAAAATAAGAAATTTCCTGCAAAACACAGCCTTTATGTGTTAATACCATGAAAACATCTTTCATTTTGTCACATTCTGATGCAATCGTAGGTCTATAATTTTTGCCTTCAAATCTTCCCGAGGTACAAAGGCTGAAATATGAAAGAAAAATTATCCCCACCAATACTATACGAGTAGAAGACTTTTGATTTTTGAAAAAGAGCAGTGTGAAGTGAATTTTACAAAGAAAACTGACACACATTTGAATATTCTGAAATAATTACATGGGAAAAAGCTCTTAGTTCACCAAAATGATTTTAAAATATGACAGAGGAAATCAAACTGTATTATAGAAATGTTTAGTTCTTAAATAAAATTTTAACATATTATTTTTAATGATACAGTCAAAAGTCGTTAATTCGGACACCCATAATCCGGAATGATCTATAATCCGGACCTCAAAGCTAAAAACTTCCTGCGCATGCGCCGCGTTGGCACATGCGCACAGGCGTTTTACGCGACGACCGTGACTACTGCGCATATGCGTGTGCGCAAGTGCAGAATACGTTTTCGCCAGCTCGTTTAATGTATAACGGACGGTGTAAGCTAAAATTATCTAATTATCTATTTCAGTTAATGTTGCAGATTGCGTTGTTCCTTAATCTTGGAATTGGATCAGGCTTATTATTTTTTGCAGACTATAAGAGCAATTTTATAAAAGTAAACTTGAACTTTCGATTATGTCAAATAGAATTTCCGATGCTGGAACTTCCAAAGGATCTACAAAACGAAAGTATGTTTCGATGTTCAACAAACAAAAAGTGGAATTGCTGCAAAAAATGGATAAAGACATGAAGAATGTGACAGAGAGGTTAGTGAAAATGAAAAAATTTCGATTGACAAGTTAGTCGGTATTCTCGGCACAGCAATTAACGGGACTTGAACAGCGGAACTTTGTAACTGAACAAGAAATTTTGTCTTTTTATAGAATTAAAGAGAAAGTATTATAACATAAAATGAAGCACCTTAAACAACTTACATTGAGAGAAATGTTTAATAAAGTAAACAAATAAATATTAAGCTCTTTTTTTTTTTTTTTTTTTTTTTTTTGTAAATTTTGATCATAATTGTTCTTTATTTCATAAATTACGGTTTCATATTTTTAATTTTAGAATTTCTGCATGCCATCTTACGAGATTTAAACTGATGATCTATAATCCGGAAAAATCGATAATCCGGAATTGCCGAAGTCCCTATGAGTCCGGATTAACGACTTTTGACTGTATTTATTAGTGTTGTTACACTTGTGTTAAAAAAAAATTAGAAACTCTTGCATATTTCCGAATAAAAACCTTTAATGCAAACTTATCTTGAAATCGTCAAAATGTTGAAAAATTTAGCACCACTCATATCTCAAAAGGAAAAAGTTGTTTTTGATGTAATATATCTTGAACTTCCAAAAAAAAAAAAAAAAGAAATAATTTTGAAATGGTTATGCTTCGATTGTAATATAGCCCCATGCGAAAAAATAGTATTCCACTGTTTATATTAGAAGTAGGAATAAATTCAAACAATACCATCAAATACATACTTGTCAATGAATCGCCAAAACATATTCCAGAAATGTTAATTCACACTCAAAATGGCAGTCACCAAAAGCAGACAGAAATGTCAAATGACTAAAATTAATGGGCTTTTGTCAATATTTGCTGAAATTAAGGACTTTTAGGGGCTATAAACTGTTTCCAAAAAATCAAAGGACTTTTGGAAACTGTGTAACAAGTTAAAAATTTTGTTTCGTAGAACATTCCACCCAAGCATAATTTTCACTTTCTTAAAATCTACACTTTGTTTTAAGAAACTTTGTGAGGATGTTTATATCTAGAATCAGTATTTGGGAAAAAATTATTGAACACTTAATATGTAATTTTAGTGTTTGTGCACACATTTATTTTGCATATAATGTAAATGCATACATTTACTTACAAAGAGTATTTCTAAATTAATGTAACAAATGTTAAAGAGTAGAAGATACACATATTAGATTTACATATAGAATTGTTCTAGCATAACTATTCTGACATAAAAATCAGACTTTTTTCCCATATTTCGATTCTACGACTCAAATTATGCTAATGTGTCAAGTTTTGTAAAAAAATGCACAAGTATTTTTTAAAAAATTAGCTCTCAAAATTTTAGCTCCTCAGTTTTAAAATATATTGTTACGAATTGTTAAATTTGGTATTGTATTATGTATTAATATCTCTTTTTCTTATTAAACTTACTTGATTTCTTTTTTACAATTCAAAATTTAAGTTCAATCTGAATAAAATTCACAACTATTTTCTAATTTATTTTCAAAATTTGTATTTTTTAGTAATTTTTATAAATTTTTTGAAGAAATACTTTAATTATAACTTTAAAATTATTTGAAAGAATGAAAGATACACCTTTTTCCCGTCGTGCATAATGAAAATATCTGATTTGTACACTGCATTACTTCCTTGTATGGAATATTAAATTATATGTGTTTTTTCTTGCATTTCATTCAAACTTATTGAATTGAATTGAATCTACTTTGTTGATAGAGCATAAACCACAATAGAATAAATGCACTCTTTAAAATTCACTATATTTGTTCACCATAGTGACATTCTGGCGCTAGGTTCTTTTAAAAACATTACATTTCATTCATTTTATAACTCAGAATGCACAAAATTTATACCATCTGAATAATTATCAAATCGTTGCCACATATTCTATTCAAACACTATAATAAATCTAAAACCATGTATAAAAGAAATTAAACAAACAAACAAAATAGTTTTTCACAAACAATTCAGTATGTCTCATTCAATTAACTCAGTTCTCACTTCGTGATAAGGCAAAAACACATAAAAACTCAAAATATCTATATTAAAATTTACGAGGTAAATCTTAAAACACTTATCTCCTCGAATAAATTCCAGCATGGATTAAGCACGATTTAATTTGCAATAATAAAAGAAGGTGTTATATTTGTTGTTGCGAAGCTTAGTTTCTCTAGATTGGCAACAAATCCACCATTCTGCTAAGTTTCAAATGTAAACAAATATGGCCACCATGGTAAAAATAATTAGTCTTAGCCACACCTAAACAACTTTTAAACTATTGATAATTCTACAAATATTGCATGCAGATTCACTAAAGGCATAAAATCCTTAACCAGAAGATAAGAACATTCTAAGATCTATTGGGAGACCAGGAGAGATGATGAAAAACCAGTAGCGCTAGCAGCTATAATTATTGCATGATTTTAAAAGATATGGGGAAAATACATGAAAAGAACAGGAAAGAAACTTACCTTCAAATAAATTAGATTTTGTTTTATAACATGAAATCAAAAGTAAACATTCTATTTGAGAGAGATTTAAAAAAAAAGTGAAAAGTTCCATATCACTTCATGGTATTAATAAATTATGAATTTGTGTATTTCTTAATAAAAAACAAATAAATGTCATTGTATAAATAAATGAAAATTAATCAGTCAAACGAAACAATAATTTAGCAATGATTATAGAGGTCTTACAAAATTAAATATTTTGAAAACTAGAAAAAGCAAAATCCTTAGCTAGAAAAATTAATAAAGAAATGTTAAAAGTTATAATATGCAGAATGGAATATTCCATCACATTACCAACCTCATGCAACTTCTTTTGGCATTCCAAAAGTATGAACTTTGTGTCTTGCAAACTTTCTATCAATTCAACTTTTTCCATCAAAAATTCATCTATTTTTGCATGTGCATCTTCGAGTTGCTCTTGAAGGCTGAGTTTTTCTTCATCATTATCTTTGTTAAATTCTTGACTTAAATAAAGAAAAGAACAGAAATTAAAACTTTACAAATTAAAAATGTACAGAAATTAAATTTCTATCAATCATTTCAAGATAGTTATTTCTATACTATTTTTTACACAAACATGGAAAAAGAAAAAATATAAAAGAATATGTTACAGCAATTAGGAAATATTAAAATCAATAATTTAAATTCAGGAAATATGAATTACAATAGCTTACTTTTTTAACATTTGTGTATTACAATGAAATTTTTTATCCTACTAACCCCAGTTTAAGAAACATTTATCAGAAAATTTGTGAAAAATATATTTATTGAACCATAGAAGAATATTACCAATTTTAGTTACCACATTCTATATGACCTCATCATCATCACCAGAAAAAATACAAGACTTGTGTCATAAAATTGCTGGATTTTTTGCTTGTTGATTATTGAGATAACATAAATGATCTTGGATATCCTGACTAGTATATGTTACAACATCGTGCAAGCTGAATCTTGTTATATGTGGTGCTTGTGAGTCTTCAGCAAGAAAGAAGGTACTTGTGTACTATTGCAACCACCTTAGAAGCTGCCAAATTGTCAGTATGAGCCAAACTCTGGCAACATGTGCATAACCATTCTTCAGGCAACCAGACTGATAACAATAATTCAGTTAAACAATGTTGCCATTTTCCTTTGCATTCCTTTTATTGTATTCCAAGTTTAAACTCATTTCATAAATAAATCTTGATATTTGTTGCCTTAATTTTAAAATTGCTCGCGGAATTTTCTAGCTATGGACGGATATTGCTGAGGTTTGCATAATAAAAAGTCTGAAATTTTGAAGTGAAAACAGATCGATGTGTACTTGGAGAAGAACAACACAAAAAATATATGAAAAGATTTGGAAATAAACATAAATGCTTTATTTTTAATGTGCCACATAAGCCTTATTTAATAATAAAAATTTGCATTTTAAATGTATGCTTTAATGCACTTCAATGTTTCTCAAATGTATATTGAAGGCATGTTTTCTTTTTGTATGTTGATAATATTTGCCAACTTTTGATAAATAGCAAAAATTTAGGAATCTTTCCATAAAAAAAATTGTAGAAACCGCTACTTGTATTTGATATGTAACTTTTAACTAATTCATCTGCAAAAAAAAAAAAAAAAAAAAAAAAACATCGAACTGCACCAAGATGGTTATATTAATGCATAAGTACTGCAGGAAATACCTCATAAAAAAGTGTTCATAACATACACAAACATTTTTACTAGGCTTTGCAAACAGTATGAAAAACAGCATGTGTTGTATTATAAGAAGGTGGGAAATGCTGCCACATTCCTGCTATAGTTGAGATTCAGCCCTCAGTATTTCCCAGCCAACCAAAGCATCATCACCTTATTTCAGGAATGAATATACATATCCCTTCAAATACCTTCTCTAAACAAGTAAAAAACTGCTTCCAGAACTTCAGGAAACAACATGCTTTCCAATACAGTTCAAGTGGATTACTTTGATAAAACAGAAGTTTCACAAGTATGTAAGGGTATCTCTCCCAATTACTGCATTCATTGAAGTCATACATGAATGCCCTAATATAAGTACAGTAGGCTTTGGATTAACTGAGAAAGGATTTGCCAGATTGCTAATTGCCACCTTTCATTTAAAAATAATATTTGACATGACCCTCAGGAATCCAATAGCAATGAGCTTTTAGTAAACTATTGAGCAATAAGCTTTCAGTCACCTCCATTGATTGTTTGTAAATAAAATCTAATTTATTTATAAACTTTATGGCTCAATGTTAATTATAAATGCAACTCCTTTTTTATTACTCTGTTATCCCATGCAATGGACAGTGCTATACACATGCTCATGTACACCATCCCTTTTCATGCTTTAATATGAAAATATCACATCAATCATGGTATATCCTCACATCATATAATGCTTCGGATTCACAGATCAATATCTTAGCAACTACAAAATGTTTAAAAGCGTCATATCTTTAGAACTCTCGATAAAGTGTCACCATACATTTATTTTTACATTTGCTACATTATTTCTTTAAAAATAAGACAGAATAACATTTGGTAGCAGAATTCTTTTACTTGAGAAGTGATTCAACACAAAAGTGAAGTAAACACAAAACTGAGGATAGAGGCTAATGCATTTAATTCGTTCATAATGAGAGCTCTTCTTCATAATGAGTTTATTCTCATTGTGCTTTAGTCTAAGAATACATTTAATGCTTATAAATGCAGTATGTTATTCTCAGTCAGGTACCTTATTTTAAATAGCGAATTTGAGAAGTTTTGGATATCTCATAATGTAATTTTTAATGAAAATATGTTCATAACTTCAAGTAAACTATTACTTCCAGTTTGCTGTTCCCATTGATATAAAAGTTTTAAATACTAAAATAAAAAAATTTTGGATTACATTTTAATATAGCTTTCCATTAAAAACTGTTATGGGCTATTGGTCAAGCAAAGCACTAATTCTGGTCGTCCAGTTTTGCCAAAAATCATATCAAATCTTTGCATGAATTTCAAAAGCTTAATTACGGAAGCTTAGCTTTATGACTTAATTTGGTGTATGTGATTACAGTAAAGCCTCGAGGGCTATCTGTTTAAGGGACAGGATGCGTTTGTGGAGGAGAACTAATTTGTATATACGTTACACATGGGAAAAACCACAAAACGCCCATGCAGCCAGCTCATTCGCAGGATTCGAACCACAGACTTAACCACCAGTGTTCAGCGATTTTACCACTTGGCCGCTGGTGGACTCTTAGCTTTTTGGAAGTTTGATATAAAAATTATGTGGACAAAAAAAAAAAAAAAAAAAAAAGGTCACTAGCAGACAGACGTGATTGTAAAAAATAGTCAAAACGCGTTGTAGGGACCCTAAGTTCTTATTATTCACCATCAGTTTTTTTTGGACCAAAAACATTACACCCCTTATTTATGTATATAGGTTGATGGGAAATAAAAAGGTTATTTATGATGAAGCAATGGAAGAATTAACAATCCCATATCATCAGAATACAACAAAACTGTTCGTGTAAAATACAGAAGGAAAAAGAGCACGTGGAATAACAGCAATGACAACATTATAATGTCTTCAAATTAACGGTTTGCAATCCAAAACAATTCAAGCAAGTTCTCTGCCAAGGAGAACAAAATTTAGGGGTACAATTTTCAGAAACTTTATGAACATAAATGAAGAGAGAGGAACCTAATTAAAATGCGATTTGAACATGCAACAGACATTAAGTGGTTTCTGAAAGCAGGAGAGATGAAAAATGAGCAATGCCTTTGCCAAAACTTGAACTATGGACTTCTCAAATATGCGCCAACTGTGCTGACTACTACGCAACAAAGGCATGCTAAGAAGGCAGGAGAAATACCTTATAAAAGTACCTGTTTATACATTTCTAGTTACATTAAATTAGTTAAATTCTATTATCTTTTTGGCGAATATTCTTTCTTCATCATTTGATGTTGTCAAAACATGCGTGGACAAACGTAATCACAATTTAGTGGCACATACTGTACTGTACTTTCCACTGAGTTTGGCAACAGCTTTAGAAATGTGTTAAAAATATTCTCATAATTTCTTTTATAGCTTCCAAATTTGAAGTATGAAAACGTTTTTGCAAGAAAACTAGAAGCATTGGGATGGTTTCGCATTATGCAGATATGCTGTTTCAAAAGAATTTCAAAGTGACTTAAATTTAATTTATAATAAGTGATTCAGATTATAAAACAATTTATAATATGGTTCTGGTATAAAATATATTAATATTTAATTAAATATTCTAAATTTTATGACAACATTTTATAAATTTCTGTTAATACTTTTATTGTGTTATTTATGCTAAAGCTTTAAAAGAAATATTTTGAATACAAATTACTATTCTGTACTTAATGTTTTGAATTTAAATAATGAATTTTGTATTAATTTGTATAAGCAATTTGAAAAGAAATAATTTTTATTTAAAATGTTTCTCAGTGCCTGTCAGAGTTCTGAAATGCCACTCACAGCAGCTATGATTACCCTCATTAAAACACAATATGATTTTGAAATTTGTCAAAATCAAAAAAAATTTCAACTTTTTTTAATATTTTAGAAGATTTATGGTTAGCCAGAACAGAAATAGTTCCCCCTTTAATATATTTTGAGGTTAAATTTTGGTAGTGACTCTAGTCACAAATGATTCTTTGACATACTCCTGAATCAAAAGAAAAAAGCCATTTTTCATAAATCAGATGGTACTAGAACTACTGAACAGCCAAATTTTAATAACTCATATATAATAGTATACAATCGAATTTTAATAATCCATGTATGATAATATACAGCCAAATTGTGCTAATCCATGTATGATAGTATACAAATTTATATTAAAACTCAGTTCAAATCAGTAACAAACTACACATGTGATGATTAAAAGTCAGAAATCACAATACACAGAAATGCACACTATTTATCAGTTTGGATAGGCAACAGAAGGAGTAGCATTTATAGATGGTAATTTAAATAGTATTTATCGCACACGAGAAAAACCATAAAAACTACATGCTACCACTCCGTTTTGCTTTAAAAACTTAGTTCAGAATTACATTATAAACATTTGAAAATGTTATTTCTTTCATTAATATAAGGCCTTCAATAGGTACAAGTTCCTTTAGCATTTTATACTTCAGATTATAGTGATAATTTTCATTTTAATATATTTCTTTGTTTTTCAAAGAATTCTTTTAGACCTGCCTACTATCATTTGAGCAGCTTACTTCTTACTAAATTTTAACCTTTTGAAGGTCATCAATGACAAACTCAGATTGCACTTTAGTTATGCACTACAGTGTCCACAAATGTACACAGCTCACATTACAAGTTTCTCTTTGGTGGTAACAAATGAGTCCCACTCCCGAATTAGAATTTTGTTTCGATATTCACAGATGAAGGTGGGCTCATTTTTCAAAATAATCCAAAGATTTTTAACTTTATGAA